ATCATTGATTGGCTGCCTCCTACATGCCCCCAACTGGGGATCAAGCCTGCAACCCAGGCATCTGCCCTTGACTGGAATCGAACCCGGTACCCTCGAGTCTGCAGGCCAATGCTCTGTTCACTGAGCCAAACCGGCTAGGGCAGGACAAAAATTTTATATAATTTTTACTGTTGAAAACAGAAATTAAATCCAATACGATTAGATTCCATTGTGACTGACAGACAAAAAAATTCTCAAAAACAGGGTTTACTTCTCTTTTAAGTACTTGAAGTATGTTTGGTGCCATCGTGTGAAGGATCCAGGCTTCTGCCACTCTGTTATGCCCCAGGCACACTTCTTTTCTAATCTGCACTTCAGGATCCGAAGTGGTTGCTACACCTCCATCCATCACACCCACATTCAATCCAGCAAGAGACAGGAAAGGGAAGAAAAGGCACACATTCCTTCAGTTCCAAACACTTCCCAGAAGCCATATGTTCTCTTTCCATGTCCTGGCCAGAAATGAGTAAACTGACAACACCTAGCAATAGGGGAGGTTGGGAAGTGCAGCGTCTTTATCTCGAGTTTCACTTTGCAAACAAAAGCACGTACCCACGAAACAGACTCCCTGCAACTGTGATGACATGAGCATTTGAACTTGTGCTCAAAGCAGATTAGTTAATGCAATGCACTTAGCATTCATTATTGTGATTCAAGCACATATTTTCATATGCATTATGGCTGGGACTTAGGCTTAACTCAGGCATGTGTGAGTATGTTATTGCCATCACTGCCTCTGAGATTGTCTCTGTCTACTGTGAGCAGGATTGCTCTGCCCAGCTTGGGTTGTTAGACACAGAGCCCCATTCCTTGTTAATGGTGTTAATGAGAAACAGTTCATAAGCAAGTTATGTAACTTAATTGTAGTCAAGAAATCATCTCAGTTATATTATTTAAAGAAGTCACATCTTAAATTTAAGGACCCAAACGGAGTCCTTCCCTAGGGAAGTGTCCTCTCCTCTCATAGTCTCATCTTAATGGCAGCACCGCCATCTTCCCACCTGTTCAACCAGGAACCTGGACATGTCTCTATTTAGTCAATCAAATTCTGTTGATTCTTCCTGTTTCTACCCCCTCTTCCTGGCCTTGGGTATTCCCCTGGAAATATGGAATCTCTGATGCGGTAAATTTGTGGGACTAGCCCAGGGGTGGGCAAACTTTTTGACTCGAGGGCCACAATGGGTTCTTAAACTGGACTGGAGGGCCGGAACAAAAGCATGGATGGAGTGTTTGTGTGAACTAATATAAATTCAAAGTAAACATCATTACATAAAAGGCTACGGTCTTTTTTTTCAATAGTTTTATTCATTTCAAACTGGCCAGATCCAGCCCGCGGGCCGTAGTTTGCCCACGGCTGGACTAGACCCTTGAGGGCTTAAGTATCTCCTTTTACTCAGAAGCAGACAGTTCTTGGTGACATGGCCACAGCTTCTCACTTTCTTAAACACAGCAGCGTCCTGAAGCCCCCGGGGCTGTAGCTCTGGCCTCCAAGTTCGTTCTAGGGCACTGACTTTCAAAGGGTTTTGATTGCAACCCCCCAGTAAGAAATGCATTTTATGCTGTGACCTAGAACATAAGGACACAAATATAAAATGGAAACATAATTTCCACAAAACAATACTTTCGCTGTTACCTGGAATCACTTTGATATTTTGTTTTCTATTCTATTCCATTTCTAAAATTGAAGTTGGGTGGCACCCACTAAGTGGATTTCACAATGCAGTGAGTCACAACTCATAGTTTGAGGAACCTTTTCCTAGGACTCACATCCTAGTTTGGAAATGTCAAGACCCAGCACAATGCAGTGACTAAGAACTCACACTCTGGGACACACTGCCAGAATTAAAGTCCTTGTTCTGTGTGGCCTTGGGCAAGTTACCTAACTTTTCTATACCTCCGTTTCCTTGTCTTCAAAATGGGAGAATAACAGAACCTATGTTGTAGGCATGTTGTGAAGATATATATACCCACTAGTGGCCTGGTGCACGAAATTTGTGCACAGGGGGGTGGGGTTCCCTCAGCCCAGCCTGCACCCTCTCCAATCCGGGACCCCTTAGAGGATGTCTGACTGCCGATTTAGGACCCAGATTGGTTCTAAACCGGCAGTCAGACATCCCTCTCACAATCTGGGACTGCTGGCTCCTAACTGCTCACTTGCCTGCCTGCCTGATCACTCCTAACTGCCTCTGTCTGACTGCCTGATTGCCCCTAACGCCTCTGCCTGCCTGATCACCCCTAACTGCCTCTGCCTGCCTGCCTGATGGTCCCTAACTGCTCTCCCCTGCCGGCCTAATCTCACCCCCAACTGCTCTCCCCTGCTGGCCTGATCTTGCCCAGTCTCTGTCTCTCTGTTTTTTCTCAGCAGTCCTCCAGGCCTCCCTGCCTCCCTGCCTCCCTCTCCCTCTTTCCCAGCTGGGAGGGGGCGGGGCCAGTGGGGGCCGCTCCACTCTCTGCCCGCCCTGCCTTCCATCCAGGCCTCTTCAGGCCCAGTCTGTTTCATTTCCTCATTCTGAGAGAAGCTCTGAGAGCGAGCTGGGAGGGAGGGAAAGAAAGGGAGAAAAGCCTGTGAGCTGGTGGGCTCTGTGTGTGTCTGTGCATGTGTGCAGTTGTGGTTGAGTATGAGTGCTGGCCCTGCCTTCCCCATCCCCGTCTCCGCTGCCACAAGTTCCCACCCACCAGAGCCTGCTGCGCATGCAGCCTGGGCATTGGGTTGAGCCTCCGGTTGTTGTGGATGTGATGGACCCACGGTTTTTATGTATTAGGATATCCTATCTAATAATAGACAAACATGGTAATTAACCATACCTCTGACACGCTTCCCATTGGCTAATCAGGGCGATATGCAAATTAACTGCCAACCAAGATGGTGGCTGGCAGCCAGGCAGCTGAAGTGAACAGGAGGCTTGTTTGCTCCAGAGATGGAGGAAGCCAAGGTTCCCTGCCTGCCGCTGCTGGGCTCTGAGCTTGCAGTCTAAGAAACAATGTTGCAATTATAGAAACTAAACAAGCTCCAGATACTTGCTTTCAGCCAGCTTCAGCCCCAGAGCTTAGAGCAGCAGTGATGGCAACAATGTTTCAATTATAGAAGCCAAACAAACCCAGATATCTGCTTTCAGCAGCTGAGGTCTCAGAGCTGGAGCCAAGCCTCAGAGCTAAAACCAGCTCTCAGTTCCAGTGACAGACTTAGAAGGTAAACAAATCCCAGAATAAAAAAAGAAAAAC